CATATTTTTATTTTAGATCGGTGATGCTGGTTACGGTGGGATGTTGAGCTATTTGTCAGTCCATTAAGAGTGTACATACACACATGTTTGTATTTCACATTCATATGGGTGGATTCAGAGGTGGGTGTTTGCCTTGCCATACGCTTGGGAGGGTTTTGTTTTTGTTTTTGTTTTTGTTTTTGACAGGCAGAGATCACAAGTAGGCAGAGAGGCAGGTAGAGAGAGAGGAAGGGAAGCAGGCTCCCCGCTGAGCAGAGAGCCCGATGTGGGGCTCGATCCCAGGACCGTGGGATCATGACCTGAGCCGAAGGCAGAGGCTTTAACCCACTGAGCCACCCAGGCGCCCCTGTTTGGGACTTTAATAGTGAAAAACTGCCCCTAGGAATTAAAAGGGAACCATCTGTTAGCTTAATAAAATGTAATATTAATCACAATAAAGCTTAACTATTGAATAGAAATCTGCTTTTATGACTCAGGAGTGAGCACGAATATCAACTGTCTAAGTGTGGTATTTAATTCCTGCCCAGCGTGAAGCCAGAAGGATGAATTGACTCAGGGACGTTCTCCTGAATCCTGCCTCTGGCATTATTCATTTGCAACAGGCTGAATTGCGATTTATGGCTGCTGTTTTCTCTCATTTATCCTTTATTCCTTTGAGAGGAAGCAGTAACTAAATACATTAAACACTGCTTAGAATCCTCAGCACTGAGCATTTTAATTCTATCAGGAGTGTATCCGCATATGATTGAAAAGGAGTGGAAACTTAGGGCTTTGGTTTCCTCGTTGACATAACGGTTAGGTCAGGTGATTGACAAGTGTGGTCTGGAGGGCACTTTAATAATAATCTTGATAAAAGACAAGGAATCGCCAAAGTGAAAAGTATGTAGAATCAGTGTAGAAAAGCCTGTTAAGCTGGATTTTCCAATAACAGAGTTTTCTTCTGTCTGGATGAAGCTGTGCTAGTCCGTTCAGTCATCAGTCACTCATTTGCACGGTGGTACAGTTGCTTACTGAGTCCTGTGGCCTGGGCCCTGGTCTGGACGCTAGGCACACAGCAGGAAACAAAGCAAAGGCCTCGTTCTTGTGGAGCTGACCTTCTTGAGGATAAGAGGCAAGAAAACCATACATACGTTGGGTCATTTGGCGCTCTAGAGGAAAATAAAGATGGTGTAAGGGGCATGGGAATGAGTGTTGGCTTGGTGTCGGGAACTACTGTTGCTTTTTATAAGGGAAGGTTGGGGAAAGCCTCTCAGTCGGTGACATTTGCGTAGAGACCTGATGGGATGGAGCACGTGGATGTCCACCGGAAGAAGAGAAAGCCAGGTGGAGGGGGAGCATGCCCTGTGGGCCAAAGGGCAGGAAGGGGCCTCTTCCCAGTCGGAGGGAAGGCAGAGAGGGGGGCAGTATCTGGAGGTGGGGTCAGAGGGACAGCAGGGACCCAGATCAGATAGGGCTGTACAGACCGTGGCAATGACATTGACTTTCTGAGTGGGAATCCACTGAGAGGTTCCATTCAAGTCTTTCCTTCCAGGAATACCTTGAAGACTGGTTGGAGAACTGACCTACAGAGAGAGGCAGAAACAAGGAAACGAGTGAAGATCGCTCATAGGTGTGTTCAGGGAAGAGCCCAAGGGCGCAGATGTTTGATTTTGTGGACTTACCACTATCTCTGTGTTTTATTAGTAAAGGTAATAGTTGTACTTCTCCAGACATGGATGGACAGTGTTGGCACATTTGAGCTACATTAGTAATAATTCAATAATATGCAAATCAGCAATATGCTGTGACTATTAAAATTTCTGAATTTAATGCTTTTTTCTGTTTCTCTAATATTTCCTTCTGAAAGCTCTTCTTTTCTCTCTCCTCTTTTTATTTAATTAACATTCTTTGAGCCACTCCTGTTTGAACTTGTCATTTGTGACGCCTCTCCCTCCATCCTCTGGAAACACAGGGAGTCAGGTACTGTCGATAGCATCCCGTCTCTCAAATCCGTCTCCTTTTTCTGCCATTCCCAACTTGAGCTTAGACCTTGCTTTCGTCTCCCAGTTAGCCATAGATTCTCCTTCTCCAATCTGTGGGAAAGGCAGCAAAAATAATGCAGGTTTTGAAGTGGGACCTTGATTCAGATCAGTTCAGCTCTTTGTTTGTTTGTAGGGCCTTTTGCAAAATGTTAAGGGAGAGGTTGAGAGAGTCTTAAGTACACAGGGCTCAGTCTCACAACTCAGATCATGACCTGGGCCAAAACCAAGAGTTGGATGCTTTACCAACTGTGCCACCAAGGCGCCCCTCACCTTTTGCAATTTTTGAAGCTCCGTTGTCCCTCTGTAGAATGAGCATAACAATAACTAATTTATAGGATTGTAGTGAGGACTAAGTGGGACAATGGAGTGTTTAAAGTACCTGGAAGGTCGTAGGTGTTGATTATTTCCGCTTCTGTTCTCCCACTTCACTCCATCCTTGAGCTGCCTGGCAGGTCGTAAAGTGTAGTTCTCCTGGTATCATTCATCTTGGCAGAAACCTTCCACCGTTTCCTGTTGCCTCACATGTTAAGTACAGGCCCTTTTGCCTGGTGTTCAGAGCCCAGATTTTCTCACTCCAACTTCCATTTCCAAGTTTTTCCCCTTTACTCTTCTTCTCCGAGTATATCATGTATCAGCAAATACGCTATTGTATTATCATGCCACCACTTCTGTATGAAAATCTTGTCGCTCTGTAAAAATTCTGTGCATCGAATCATGTCTCAAGTTCTGTTGCCTTCAAAAGCTAACACTCTGGACGTGGCTTCTCCCAGTTCTAAAACATCATTGCACTTGGAAGAAGCAATATGGTGCCCAGGTTCTGGACCCAGAAAGCCCAGATTCTGCTCTTTACTCTTATCCTGGTAACATCGCTTCATTTCTGCATCTCCATTTCCCCTGCGTAATGAAGACAATACCTCCCTGATAGGCTTGTTGTGAGGACTTAAGTAAGGTACTACGTGTGAAGCACTTTGGATAGTGTCTGACATTTGGAAAGCTTAAATCAGTTTCTATATAATTATAGGCATGAAAAATCAACATTATAGCATTAGGACCTGTATTTTACAGGGAATTCAAATGAGAAGCTACTTTGAGGTACAATGGAAAAAGAGGCATAGACTGGGAACCAAGAGACCTGAATTCTAATACAGGTCCCCACTACTGAACAAAGTGTGTGACAATATGTCACTTAGCCTCTCTGGACCTTATATTCTTCAGCTGCGAAAAGAGAAGGACGAACAAAAATCACGCTTTCTTTCAGTTCAAACAGCCACCTGGAGATCTCATAGCCACCTACAACTCAACATTGCCCAACAGAACTCTTTAGTTTCCACTTTTTGAAACCCACTCCTCCCGCTCTCTCTGTAAATGATAATACCGTCTGTGGAGTGTTAAGAAACCTAGGGGTTGCCTTTGAATTGTCTGTTCCTTTCAACATCTGAATGGAATCCATCTGCATATCCTCTTGGTTCTACTTCCAGAACATCTGATTCCATCTACTTCTCCCTGTCACTGCTGCTACAGCCCTCGCCGTCATCTGCCTCTACTGTAGCCGTGGGTTCCGGATCCAACCCTTTGCTTCCACTCTTGCCGGCTTTCAGCCTAATTCCCGCTGAGCCAAAGCGATATTTAAAACCTAAGCCAGATAATATAACTTTTCTGCTTTAAACTCCCTAGTGGCTTTTCATTGTACTTAGGATGAGATCCAAACTCTTCTATGTCCTCACACCACTCTCCCCCTTATGCTTCAGCTGCCCTTTTTTCTTCTCATGCCAACTCACCAATCTCATGTCTGCCTAGGGCTTTCTTAGCAGGTGCTATTTTCTGTACTTAGAATAGTCATCCCCCAGATGTCAACATGACTTGCTTCTTGTGGTTAGATCTCAGCTCTGATGCCCCCTCCCTTGTATCAGTAGTGCTCTATCACACCATCCTATTTTTCCCTAAGGTTTGCCACTATGTGAAAATAGCTTATTTATCTATCTCCTTCCCTTCAGTAGAAATTAAATGCTCTCATATTAGGGCCTCTTTCGTAGCAGTGCTTAGTACATAAGGGGAAAAAAAAACAAACCTTGACAATACACGAATAAACAGAAACCCATTTTAATGAGATATCAAGGTTTATATTAATTACATGAGCTAAATATTGTCTTTATTTTTAAAGTGTGAAGCCCTGTTGTTTCCCTCCCTTTATACCGAGTGAAGATTATTGAGCACATATGCTTGTCCTAGAAAGATGAATCTAAATAAAATAATAGTAATAACCGTGACAGGGTGGTTTTCCCCCTGATCTAAATCGTTCTCAAATCTACCGTTGTCTCCTCTCCCACACTAACCCCTCAGTGCAAATTACCATCTCCTCTGGCCTAGGAGACTGCCTCCCCTCTGGTCTTTCCCCTGTAGGTTCTAATCTCCCAACCATCTTTTCTCCAGACGGCAGCTGGCAGGCTTTGCGGTTGCTGCTAGACTCATGCTTGAAAACCTTCCGAGTTTTCATTGTTCTCAGGATAAAGGCCAGAACTGCCCGGGACCTCACGTCAGGGTAGCCCTCACTCCGCACTGAAGGCCACACTCCCTCCCTCACCTCCTGGTTCCCGCCTGCCACCACAGTGGTGGCCCTAGCTTCCCGCTTCCTGGACGGCTCACTATCCTGCACCCATTTTTGTCTCCTCCTGATCTCAGCAGATGGTCCCTTCCTCAGGGAAGCCCTCCCTGGTTAGGCCAAGCTCTCCTCCCCTTCATACATTCCCCGTATCACCGTCGGCCTTTCAGGGTCTCCTTTTACAAATGCATACTCCGGGACATGGTAACCTTATTAACATGCGTAGGCGCGAGCTCGTAGCTCGGTAACTCATTGCGGAAGAAGTGGACTGAGTAGCTGCCCAACCACTCCTTGCCCCTCCCCCTAGGGCTGCAGGGCGACTATTACGCATTAAGCAGGCGCCCGGAGAGGGAGATCTCACGGCGCCTGCGCGAAGGGGCACGCATGCGCAAAAGGACGAGCCCGCTGACAGATTCGCGGCGGCGGTGGCGGTGGCCCTGGCCCTGGACTGCGGGGAATGGGAGTCCTAGGTCTCTGAGCGCCGCCCCCGCCTCCCTGCCCCCGACATGGCTCAGGAGAAGATGGAGCTAGACCTGGAGTTGCCTCCGGGTACTGGCGGGAGCCCGGCGGAGGGCGGCGGCAGTGGCGCCGGCGGGGGCCTCAGGAGGTCTAACAGCGCCCCCCTGATCCACGGCCTCAGTGACACTTCGCCGGTGTTCCAGGCCGAGGCGCCGAGCGCCAGGCGGAACAGCACAACGTTCCAGAACCGCCACGGCCTGCTCCTGCCGGCCTCCCCCGTCCGCATGCACAGCAGCCGCTTGCACCAGATCAAACAGGAGGAGGGCATGGACTTGATCAACCGAGAGACCGTCCACGAGCGCGAGGTGCAGAACGCAATGCAGATAAGCCACTCCTGGGAGGAAAGTTTCAGCCTGAGTGACAACGACGTGGAGAAGTCCGCCTCCCCGAAGCGCATCGATTTCATTCCGGTGTCACCAGCACCGTCGCCCACCCGGGGGATTGGGAAGCAGTGTTTTTCACCCTCCTTGCAAAGTTTTGTGAGTAGCAACGGATTGCCTCCGAGCCCCATTCCCAGCCCAACGACTCGATTTACTACCCGGAGAAGCCAGAGTCCCATCAATTGCATTAGACCAAGTGTTCTTGGACCCTTGAAAAGAAAATGTGAAATGGAAACTGAGTATCAGCCAAAGAGATTTTTCCAGGGCATCACCAACATGCTTTCTTCTGACGTTGCACAGCTGTCAGATCCTGGCGTGTGTGTATCGTCGGATACCCTCGACGGAAACAGCAGCCGTGCGGGATCTTCGTGTAACTCACCAGCGAAAGTCAGCACTACCACCGACTCTCCTGTGTCGCCTGCCCAAGCGGCCTCTCCATTTATTCCAGTAGACGAACTTTCATCTAAGTGATTCACCCACCCATCCTGAGACTCGGTTTTTTTGTTTGTTTTGTTTTTGTTTTGCAACGGAGAGAAAAAAATCAAGTCGGAGCAAGCACTGAACTTTGTCAATTAATTTGAGGCTATTTCCTATTTGACCCTCTTCCTTTTTTTGGAATTTCCTGAAATGTTGTTACTCTATAGAACTTTTATGTCAGGTTCCTGCAGATGCCCTTGAATTCAGTGTAGTAATATTTTCAGACGTTTTCCAATAAGTGTGTTGAAGCATACGTCTTTATGCTGCTAATATGTTTAAATACATATGTTATCCCTTGATTTTTTAAAATAATTGAGAGCTCTATTTATTTATGGGATTATTAAGTTCTGATGCAAATATAAATGTTGAATTAATCAGCATAGTAAACTGATGTTTTAAAATTCCATATTTCATGCCCACACTAATTTTTAATGTTATTTTTCAGTGATTGCTAATTTCTATTTGACGAAGAACTTAGCTATTTACAGCAATTTTTAAAAAATAAGTTAAAACATATCGATCTAGTGGTTGTCTATTTTATCCAGGAATCCTTGGATATTTAATTTTCTGGGTACACAAGTGGCTGGGAGGGGGAATGATAAAAGAACAAAATATGAAAGTTTGCAACAAATCTTTTTAAATTAACTATATAAAGTAAACACTGAAATGCATTTTCTAATGAAATTTTAATATTAATTCTAATAAGTTGTGCAAATAGAACTGCAGGAAAGTTTAAGAAAAAAAAATTTTAAACCAGAAAGTGCATTTTCTGGGGTATAATCCTGAAGGAAAATGGGACAGTGCCTTGCAGTCTTAGCCCATTCTACGTAGGCTGAGACCAGGTTCTTTGTACCACTGCAAACTTAAAAGTTTCTCAAATAGAAAATGTGGGAAGCCCTGTTGAACTTCATCAGAGCACCCAGGCAGATAAGTCTCTCAATCATTGATATGCTTTAAAATATCCAGTTGTGCCTCAGTGAAAAATCCTTGCCAACAAGGAGCCAAAGCAGCTTTTGGCTGCTTTTCTGCTCTGCCCATCTGTCACCTTCCTGGTTTTCCCTGGCTCAGGAAGGAAGCAGCTGTTTCCTTGCCAACAGGTCCTTCCTCTCCACCTCCCATCAAACTAGGGCACCATCGGTTAGACAGAGGTACAGCTTATGACTTGGATTTCTGACAGTGTGCAACAACAGAACTGTGGAATTGTTGCAGGAACCTGTGTAGTTAAAGCCAGAGCTGGAGTTGACTGCCTTGGGGATTGCTAATTGATTAAGGGTCAGTGACTTGCAAGAGAAAATCAGTGGAGAGTCACATAGGTAGATCATTATTTAACTTAGATTTTTATTAAAGGTAGAATTGTAAAATGTTCTTTTCTTTGCCTTTTACAACTAAGACAAAATACAGAAATATTTAATATCAAATGTTTTTATATCATGCTTCCTATATCTTCCTTTACTAGATAGATAGAATGGCAGACAAAAGGGGAAGGGGAAGAAATAAAGAGAGACCAAGATAAAAAGCTCCAGCTTTCTAAGTTACTGCTTATAGAGATTTTAACAATTATGTGGAATTTTTACAACTATGAGAATAAATGGAACTGGTCAGCTTTTGAAAGTTGCCTTAAGAATTCAATGAAATTATGTCGAGGGTAAGATTGTGTCCGTAGGCTGAAAGTACTCTGTTCTGGGTAGTAGTTGACGTACTCCAGTCCTGACTGTGTTCCTCCAATTCAAACCTGTATAGCCAGCTTCCTGGTGGGTAACTTGACCTGCTTCCAGAGGCGCTTTAACCTCAGCATCTCCAAAACAAAATTCAGTATCATTGAACCTGTTCTTGAATTCCCTAAATTGATGTCCTCACTGGCTGATTTTCTAAACTAGAAACCATGGGAAGTGTCTTTGACTTTCCCCTTTACCCTATCACATCCAGTGTAATCGCTAAGTCCTGTCTCCTGAAGTGAATCTGAGACCTCTCCCCTTCTCTGTTCTTTGCCTCTGATTAAACTTGGGTTCCAGCCTAAGTGATCTCGTCCATTTTCCCACCTCCCCTTCTGGCCCAGTCTTCACTCTGCCTCTAAAGTGATCTTCCTGAAATAGACACTTGATTGAAAACTTTATGTGCTTCCCCATTTCCCACAGCGTAGGGAATGCTTTCTGTAACCTGGCGTATAATAAGGTCCTTCATTCACTGGGCGTACTGTAAAACAGCTTTACAACTCTGCTCATCCTATCTGAGCACACATCCTTCCTTCTTACTCTGCAAACACTAGACTCCTTGATCTTCTTTAAATACACCGTGTACTTTCATGTGTTTGTGCCTTTGGATGGATTGTTCTCCCCCCGAAAATGCCATTCTTGTCCTTTTCAGCCAGGCAAATGCTTTGTTTCTTTTTTATTGCATGTTAATTTAACTATGAAAGAATGTATACCTGCTGATTATAAAAGTATTTAAACAATGCAGATATCTATATAGTAAAAACTGAAGTCTGCCTTTTACTATGTAAAATTCATCTGCCCTTCCCATTGGTAATTTCTGTTAATTCAGTATATATTGTACAAGTTATTTTGCTCCTCATTTTCGTGTATATATGTATATAAATTCGGGAAACCAACATGTCCTTGACATCTCTCTTCCTTTTCTTTCCCCATATCTTCCCTAAGTTTTAGTGGTTTTCTCTTCCGGAATCTACCCTACCCCCCTTTTCATCTCTGCGGCCACCCTGCCCCCAGGCTGCCATTCGTTTCCCTCAGAGACTTCCAAAGTAGCCTAATTCCCACTCATCCCTTTCACGCGTCCCTCTCACACGCTCTGGTCAGGTGTCCATTCATTCTCCATACAACAACTAAAGTAATCCTTTTAAAATTACATGTCTGATCCTTCCATCGTCCAGCTTAAGGCTTCTCCTTTGCTTCCTGTTATGTTTATGGTATACCAAAATGTACTAATTCTGGCCCAAGGGGCCTGAGGGGATCTGACATTTGCCCCTCCCTCCCCCTTGCTTTCTTACTGAAAACATCATCTTCTTTCCCATTTTAGGTCCTGTGGCCAGATCCTTTTCTCTGAAGGTATAGGGAAGCCTTTATTTCTGTAAGCTTATTTTTCTGTATGGGTGGTACATTTTAAATCAGATGAGGCTCTCAGAGTTTATATAGACCATTATTGTTTGTAACTTTAGTCATGACTTTTAAGGGCTTAACTTATGTGAGACCTATCCTTCAAAAAACAGTTATAAGGTCTTAGTACTGCTAAGCTATGAACTTGGTGCTGGAAGTCCCCAAGCACATCAACATTTAGCTAAAGTACAGCCTGTCATGTATAACAAATCGCTGTGGTCTATTTTCCTTTATTGTGTTCGTTAAAAACACGATGAAAATGGAAAAAAAAAAGATGGTCACCAAATCTATGGGTGCTGGATGTCAGAACCTTTGAGCATACTTAAAAGATTGATTGTAACCAAGAATAATCTGTATTGAGATGCCTTCCAGGGACCCAGATTTATCATGTTAGGTCAGCTGGTTATACACCTACACCGAGAGACGGACCACTCTTAGATATTTGGCAGTAAGATGGAGAAAGTGTCAAGGTTTCTGAGGGAATCAAGACTAAGAAAAAATTTTTTTTCTTAAGACTGTGTATGTAGAGCGTGAGAAAAAGTCTGAAGACCCAAGAGAGAGGCAGGAGATGGGAATAACTTCCCAAACAACAAACCAAGGAAGGTGTAACCTGCATTTCCTGGGTAGCATCTGCAAATAGAAGAAAGGGTCAGCCTGAGAAAGGAGGTTTGGAGGCATTTTTTTTTTCCTCTCTGAAAGCAGAAAGGAGAGGGGAAGAGGCTTGAACAAAGATATCAGTACATGTTGAATTGATTCGCTTTTGTAGGAGCTTGTGGGTGTGGAGGAAGGTATAAGAAAAGAGGAAAGGATTTGTATCTGATTGCTTCTATTTTCTAATTACCCAGTAGTCTAGGGTATTTGAGGGTGGGTGGGAGTAGATTTAGAAGCTTTAGCAAAAGAAAGATTTAATGTTGCCTTTTGAAAATCTGTAAAGCAGTGACTCAGGGTTGAGAGGAAGCTTGACCAGGCCCCGTTTGCGGGGTTGGACGGCAGATGCAAAAGAAGTAGATGGGATTGACCTAGGTTTAAGAATTGGTTAAGTAGACCTAGATTGAGTCCAGTGTGTGAAGCAATTAAAGATTCTGTTGAAAGTGTAGCGGAGTTACTGGCCAAGGCCTTGAGGGTGTTAAGAGAAGTCAGCAGTGGGTGATGGACGAGACCCCTTTTCTCAAGGCCTTACAATCAGCCGTGACAAAGTATACAGAGAACTGGATCTCATGCAGGACTCCTGTTTCAGTTTTGCCCATCTTTTTCGTGGCTTGTTTCGTTTCATTAGAGAATCAGTCTTTTTTTTTTTTTTAGATTTTATTTATTTATTTGACAGAGATCACAAGTAGGCAGAGAGACTGGCAGAAAGAGGAGGAAGCAGGTTTCCTGCTGAGCAGAGAGCCCAATGGATCCGGGGCTCAATCCCACGACCCTGTGATCATGATCTGAGCCGAAGGCAGAGGCTTTAACCCACGGAGCCACCCAGGTGCCCCTAGAGAATCAATCTTAAATCAGCAAGCCATGAGTCCCACTTACGTGATAGAAAAAAATTAAATCAGATTGCTCACTGTAGCCAAGACAATTCTTTATGCCTTCCTTAACTTGCCATCCAAGTAAAAATTTTTCTTAAAAGTTGAAATGACCTTTCTGTAAAAAGAAATTGCATATAAGGTACTTGCTATTGTCAGGCACTCTTCTAGGTACTAAACAAATTTATTTCATTTACTTTTTACCACTGCCATCTGAGATAAATGCCATTTTTCTCATTTTGCAAATGAGACAGACACAGAGAGGGGCTAAATAAATAACTTGCTCAGGTGTCTGAAGTCAGGGGTAGGCAGCGGATCGTGGTGGTTAGGAACACGGGCTTCGGAGCCGAGCGGTAGAGAGGATGACATGGTCAATATATGTAAAGTCCAGCCATGCTGGGCAGTTTCCATAGAAGGGTCAGCCGTCCTCATCACCGTGGCTGTTGTCCTGATAGTCATCTAGCAGGGACTGGCTAAGGAAGCTTCTGATCACCCTTGGCAGGCCAAAGCTCCTGCGTTCACACTCAATGACAGTACGCTGTCCACCCTTCAGGGCAGCCTGTCCTTTTATGAGGTCAGTGTTTTCCATGTTGAAGAGTCTTTCTTGCAGACGACTGGTTCCTTTGTAACTTTCACAACTGAGGTCAAAGCTGTCTCTCTGGATCCTCTGTAATTACCTTCTCTT